GAGGCAGTTCTACGGCGGTATTAGCTCATCTCCAGGCAGGTCAAACCCAAAGTCACACAACCTGGGGCGCGGCCCCGCCCCGCCCCCGCCGGCCGGGACCCGCGCGCGGCCGCAGAGAGCCACCTGGCGGCCGCGAGAGCCTCCTCCTGAGCCCGCCCGCGCGCGCACCGCTAGGTGGGCAGGAGACCGCGGTGCCCAGACCAGCCCTCCCGGTGCTGAGCAGAAGGCAGACTCCCCGAGAGTCGCCCAGCAGCCTTCGCTGACCTCGGATGTAAGTCCTCAGCCAAGGCCGGGACTCTTTCTGTCCTGAAAGGCGAGCGGAGCCCAGGGCCGGACCGTGGAGCTCCTGGCCCCTCCACCCCAGCCTCGCGCCTCTGTCTGTCGTCCGCCTGCGCAAGGTCGCTCTGGTCCCAGGTTTCTGCGTGCAATTCCCGTTTCTGAGCGGTGCTTAGCGCAATGAAACCTCCCTCTGCCCATCTGCCTGCTGCTCTGCCCGCCCCAAGGCTAGGCTGGTGGGAGCAGTTTGCTCTGGCCCACACGCCCACTGCCCCTGTGGCAGCACCTGTCACTCCAGGCCACTCCAGCCATGCTGCAAATGGGCCACCTCCCTGCCCAGCCCGTCCTAGAGGGAGAGCACACGTTCCCTCTGCACCCTGCCCTGCCCTCCCCTGCCCCCAGTTGCTGAGGACACTTCTTGCCTGCCTTGGGAGGCCTGGACCTGGGCGAGACTTCACTCATAACAGAGATCATTGCACAACGCTGTCCATGGGGCATGGGCAGCGCCCGGCCTAGCACAGAGGGTGGTGGCCCACCGACCGCCTGCGTTGACCCGGCCCAGGCAGCCCTGGGGCGTGCGTGGGAGAGGCCCGTTCTGGAGCTCTGAGATCAGGAACACCCACTCCCTCCTAGAAGAGGAACTGTGGCCCGGAGGACCTGGGTGGCTGGGGCAGTCGCCCCTCTGCTCTGAGCCTTGGCTTCCGCTCTGCACGCCTCCTCCAGGACCGCAGAGAGACATGTAGAGTGCACACCGGGCTTTGCACACACAGCCGAGACTCGGGCTCAGGCAGGCAGTGGGGAACCGCAGCCGGGTTCCCAGCTTCTCCTGAAAAGGCTCCGCCTCCGAGCCTGTGGTCCTCACCATGTGTTACAGGACTCCAGAGCCCCAGCCCCTTGGGCTGCTGGGAGACTGTCCTGCTGGACGCCCAGGCGTGGGGCTGCGCTGTCTGGCATCCCCTCCACGTCGTCCTCCGGCGTGCCGTCCAGCGTTGCCCTCTCCAGGTCCCATGAGCCACTTAGCAACCAAGCGGCCGCATCAGGGCACAAGGGACTCCCTCAGGGAGCCGCCAGCGAGGGGAGGAGTCGGCCCCACTCTTCATGCAGGTCTGCTGGGTCGCCGAGAAGCCTTGCCATGTTTTTCTGGGTTTCTATGCACAAGTGCGTCACGACCTTCCCGAGGACCCGGCGAGCGAGCATGAGTGAGCTGAGGGAAGGGGTGTGTGCCGGCTCACGGAGTCATGCTTATTTGCAGAGACCGACTCTGCGCCAGGCCCCACGCTGGACACACGCACAGTGACCTGTGCAGCAACTCGCAGCTGAGAGAGGGCGGGCACGCCCACAGGTTCCGTCAGCCCAGCCTTGGGGACCAGAACCACGGGGCGCTTATGGAGCAGAGGCACCTCCAGACCTGGTGGCGCCCGCCCTGGGGAGGAGAGGCACTTCCAGGCCTGGGGGGTGATATATGAAGAGTGCCTAAAAATCAGTGAGGAAAAACTGCAGTAAAAAGGGTGGGGGCCGGCAGGTGGTGTGGTAGTTAAGGGCGCTGGATCTCCCACATGGCTGACCACGGTTCAAGTCCTGGACCTGGAGGCTTGCTTTCTCACTTTCTCTTTTTTCTCTCATTCTGCCCCTCTCTGGTTAAATTTAAATTACTTAATTAATTAAAGTTAAATAAAATTTTTAAAAAAATTGGTGAAGGGTAATACGTAAACAGAAAATCCACTGAAAAGGAAAAAAAATGGCTCTTAAAGAAATGAAAGCGTGCGTAGTCTCACTCAGAGGAAATACACATTGGCATTTAGGTGAAGGGACTGCTCTAACGTTCAAGCTGCAGTGGTAGTTGTAACCCCTGGGGCCAGCAGGTGGTGTGGTGGTGAAGGGCGTTAGACTCCCACATGACTGACCACGGTTCAAGTCCCAGACCTGGCAGCCTGCTTTCTTGTTCCCCCTCCCCCTTGCTCTGTTCCTTTCTGGTCAAATTAAAATAAATAAATAAAGTTAAATAAAATAATTTTAAAAACTAGCTGCAGCCCCCATGAATGTCCTGAAGCTTACTGAAGCCACTTAGAACTGTGGGTTTTATATGTTAATTACACCACAATAAGGCCAAAAAATACTTTGGGATATCCTTTTTTGCGGGGAGAGCTTTTTGCTATAGGGTGCACACGCTCACCAGAAAGATAGAGGGACAGAGAGCGAGAAATCAGGGGCCAGCAGTTGGCTTAATGGCTGTATCACTGGGCTCCCATGTGGTCGATCGCGATTTGAGTCCCGGACTCGGTGGCTTAAACTCACACTGGGCGCATGTGTGTGCATGCCCAAGAGCCTGAGAGGAGAATGGAGGAGAGGGGATTGCGGCATGGCCATCCCTCCTGGGGAGTGATATCTCGCTTTCTGTCTCTCTGTCTCTCTCTGTCTTTCTGGTGAGTGCACGCGCCCTATAGCAAAAACCTCTCGGAAAAAAAAAGAAAGAAAGCGAGAAATCACCCCCCAGGGGGCATGGTCACGCCGCAATCCCTTCTCCTCATCCTCCTCTCAGGATCTTGGGCACGCACGCACATGCACCCGACATTAGTTTAAGCCACCGGGTCCAGGACTCGAACCATAGTTGGCCTTGTAAGAGTTCAGAGCCTTAACCACCACACTACCTGCTGGCTTGAAATATTTTATACCTGTTAGCACTAGCAATTGTCAAAACATCTGCTAAATGGAGTGTGGAGAAGATAGCTGAGGATCGACGAGCCCTCTGGAGGGTGGACAGCAGGCCGCTGCCAACTACGAACTCCCCGCTTGAGCCACTTATGGGACTCCGTTTACCAGCCCCTCCAGCAGGTCTCCTACCTCCGTGGCACGTGGAAACTACTGCAGCCTCGTACATCGGCAAACATGGAGACAGAGGCGTCTTCCAGGCCCCAGCCGGTGGTGTGCTGACCTGCAGTGCCGGAAGCCATGTGGCTGACCGTGGGCCCAGATCCCAAGTCGACCTGAACACGCCCGGTGTGCACTCCTCCCGGCTGTGGCAGGAGGGCCGAGGGAAGGGGCTCATCTGTGAGGAGACCCGGGAGAGGTGCCTCCTCGCTCGCGCTCCGGCTCCCAGGGACGTGTGCACGTGCTCCGGGAAGGCCACTTTCGCCTGCCTAGAGGTGGAAGTCGTGCTGCCATCGAGGGTAGAGACGGGAAGAAGAGGGCGGGGATGTCCCTGTGACTGCCGACACGCCTCGCCAGGACTGCGAAGGCGGGGCTGAGGCAGTGTGGCTTGCCACCTCCTTAAAGACTGGGCGCGGGCGGGAGGTTTGTGCGTGTTCTCGCACACCGGCATGGGGTTTCTCTGGCTAGAAGACACACACCATGAGCAATGGCCGCCATCCACCATCCACCTGAGCCTGGGGATGGGAGGAAGGCTTTTTGCGGCATACCCATTTGCTCCTGCTAAAATTACAGACAGGCAGATAGACAGATACACACATATGCATACATCTGTGTGTGTCCTATATCTTTTTTAAAGATTAATATAAAAAAATATATTTTTTGATTAAAATACCAGGCTGGAAAAGCACAGAGGTTTGTGGGCAGACAATGCCAGGGGAGTCCAGACCCTCCTGGAACATGAACAGGCTCCCTGCCCTAACAGGAGTGTGGCGGCCCAGCTCCCTGCAGAGCAGTCTCCAGCTGCTGAGGACGCAGGTGCCACGTGGCCCGGCAGTCCCTCCTGTGTGTGTAAAGAAGAAATGGGACCAAAGAGCCTGGTCTGAATCGAGGAGCCCCAGGGAGGAAGGGGCAGCCCCTCTGCTGGAGACACACAACTAGGGATGACGCAGTGTCCAGGAGAGGCCAGCAGGGTCTAGTCACAGCCACGTGACACAGCACCCGATGTGGGGGCGCGGGGATGGAGGGATGCGATCTGGGAGGAGAAGCCACGGCAAGTTCTCTGATGGGACCTAGCACCACAAGCGTCAGCCCCTGTAGTTTCTGTGTGGATTCGGTGCAAGTCACGCTAGAACACGGACATTTCTAACTGGGTAGTGACCTTCAGGATGACCTGCAGGACATGCCCAAAGGTGACCAGGGGTATCAGGGCAGGAGTAACACAGGGGTTCTGCCTTACTGGAGATGAGACCATGCCGCAGAGCCACTGTGAGCCTGCCAGCACCCCACTGGCAGAGCAATGCGCACGGGGAGGGTAGAGAAGCCAGCCCACCAGGACCGGGACAGCGTCCACGCAGAAGGATTGCAGAACGGCCCTGCAGCACCCAGCGTCCGTCTGGAAGGAAATTAGATTGGACCCCTCTGTATTTCCAAATTTCCAAATAAATTCAGATGGATAAAGAGATGTAAATGGGGGCAGCCGTTGGCGTAATGGCTATGTCGCTGGACTCAGCCATTACGCCAGTCTACCGTGGTTCAAGTCCCGAACCCGGTGGCTTAAACTCACGCTGGGTGAGTGTGTGTGTGCCCAAGATCCCGAGAGGAGAATGGAGGAGAAGGGATTGCGGGGTGGCCATCCCCCGGGGGGTGATTTCTCGCTTTCTGTCTGTCTCTCTCCATCTTTGTGGTGAGCGCCCTACAGCAAAAACCTCTCAAAAAAAAAAGGAGGGGGAGAAATGTAAATGGGGACCAGCAGGGGGCGTAGTGCTGGGTTCCCGCAGGGCAGACCAGTTCGCATCCTGGACACAGTGGCTTCAAAACCACGTCGGACACGTGCATGCGTGCCCGAAATCCCAAGAGGAGAATGGAGGAGAAAGGATTGCAGCGCGGCCATCCCCCAGGGGTAATCTCTCTTTCCTCTGTCTAGCCCCAGTGACTGCACTGCCCTATGGCAAAAAACTAAAAAACTTTTTAAAGTAAATATGAAAAATAAGCACTAACCAGCTCACACACACCTCAGGGACACATGCCGTCTTGGCCCAGAAAAGCGTGTGTGTGAAGGCTGGGGTGGCACAGCCTCTCTGGGTGAAGGCAGAGCCCGAGTGTGGACACGTGGCAAGGACTCTGTGGCCAGGAATGGGGGGCTGGCGCCCCAACCAGAGCCTGGCCTTCCTGTCACCATCATCAGAAGTTAGGCCACGTCTCCATCCCTGTGTGATGTTCTTTGACTTTTTCTTTAGCTCATTTTATGTCTTCATTTTTCTAATTCTTTTCGCCCTAGGGCATGTGCACTCCCCAGAGAGTGAGAGACAGAGGAGGGGGAAGTGTCCTCCATGAGGTGGCACCGCAAACCCTGCTCCTCCATTCTCCGTCCTGTCGGGGTGTGGGACACATGCATGTACTCAAGGTGTTTTCCGAAACACCAGGGCTGGGATTCAAGCCATGTGGGCCCTGCTTCCCTACCCGCTGTGCCGGGAGCTGGCTCCCAGTCAGTTGGTCTCCTGTTCTGAGAGAGCTCACTGCCAAGCTGAGTTGGGTGGCTGGTTCTGCCCACCTGGCCACACGGGGATAGCCGGACTAGCAAGAGGCCAGCAGCCCCCCCGCCGGCCTTGGCAGGGTGGGCCCGTTGGCATTTTGGAAGCTGCCCTGCCCCTTCTGGGTGGGAGGGACTGGAGGGGAGGGGAGGAGTAGGGGCAGGGAGCTCAGCCATTACGCCAGTCTACCGTGGTTCAAGTCCCGAACCCGGTGGCTTAAACTCACGCTGGGTGAGTGTGTGTGTGCCCAAGATCCCGAGAGGAGAATGGAGGAGAAGGGATTGCGGGGTGGCCATCCCCCGGGGGGTGATTTCTCGCTTTCTGTCTGTCTCTCTCCATCTTTGTGGTGAGCGCCCTACAGCAAAAACCTCTCAAAAAAAAAAGGAGGGGGAGAAATGTAAATGGGGACCAGCAGGGGGCGTAGTGCTGGGTTCCCGCAGGGCAGACCAGTTCGCATCCTGGACACAGTGGCTTCAAAACCACGTCGGACACGTGCATGCGTGCCCGAAATCCCAAGAGGAGAATGGAGGAGAAAGGATTGCAGCGCGGCCATCCCCCAGGGGTAATCTCTCTTTCCTCTGTCTAGCCCCAGTGACTGCACTGCCCTATGGCAAAAAACTAAAAAACTTTTTAAAGTAAATATGAAAAATAAGCACTAACCAGCTCACACACACCTCAGGGACACATGCCGTCTTGGCCCAGAAAAGCGTGTGTGTGAAGGCTGGGGTGGCACAGCCTCTCTGGGTGAAGGCAGAGCCCGAGTGTGGACACGTGGCAAGGACTCTGTGGCCAGGAATGGGGGGCTGGCGCCCCAACCAGAGCCTGGCCTTCCTGTCACCATCATCAGAAGTTAGGCCACGTCTCCATCCCTGTGTGATGTTCTTTGACTTTTTCTTTAGCTCATTTTATGTCTTCATTTTTCTAATTCTTTTCGCCCTAGGGCATGTGCACTCCCCAGAGAGTGAGAGACAGAGGAGGGGGAAGTGTCCTCCATGAGGTGGCACCGCAAACCCTGCTCCTCCATTCTCCGTCCTGTCGGGGTGTGGGACACATGCATGTACTCAAGGTGTTTTCCGAAACACCAGGGCTGGGATTCAAGCCATGTGGGCCCTGCTTCCCTACCCGCTGTGCCGGGAGCTGGCTCCCAGTCAGTTGGTCTCCTGTTCTGAGAGAGCTCACTGCCAAGCTGAGTTGGGTGGCTGGTTCTGCCCACCTGGCCACACGGGGATAGCCGGACTAGCAAGAGGCCAGCAGCCCCCCCGCCGGCCTTGGCAGGGTGGGCCCGTTGGCATTTTGGAAGCTGCCCTGCCCCTTCTGGGTGGGAGGGACTGGAGGGGAGGGGAGGAGTAGGGGCAGGGAGGTGACAGAGGGCCAGGGCCCTAGGAGATGGTGGGAATGGGGGTCTGGGACCTCGTCTCACCCTGTCCTCACACCCACCTAACGTTTCTCCTAACCTGACCCCTTCCTGCCCCAACCCCTCTGCTACCTGGGCCACACTGCCGCC